AGCGAATCACGGTGGTCACATGACCCTAAACCCCTGCCCTGCCTCCCGGTTTCTGAAACCCCTTAAAGGGTCGGGAGGCGCCGGCGTGAAGAGGATAAAGTACATTTCAGCTCTGTGTTAAATTTTGAACACAGATCCTAATGAGAGTGTTGATTGTCGCTTTCAACAAGCTGCCAGCAGGCTTCAGTACTTCTTGAAGCTTACTAGCAGCTCGTTTAAAGTGGCATTCAGCACTTCCATCAGGATTTGTGTTCAACATTTACAAACTGAACATGAATAATGCTTTAAAAGCTTAAAGTATAACTAAAGGCAAAACCTTTCTTTTAGTTTTGGACAGAGTGGAGAGGGATTAGAATACCTATGAGTTTTTATTTAGGGAGATTCATCCCTTCTATTTGTTTTGTTTACCATTATTATTGAAAGTGAAAGTAAAAGAAAATACAACATTTTGGGTTGCCCCCAGAAAAGCAATAGAGGGGAAATCTTCCAATGGGGACACTAGTTCTGGTGACCTGGGAGTCCCCAATAAATTCTCTTAATTTACAGGGATTTCTTCCTACTTCATGTTTGGCTATGGGACAGAAAGTGAAGGGAAATCTCTGCAATGGGACAAAGATGGTGAAAAAAAAATCTGACAGGGGTTATAACCCTCCCTCACTCTATCCCAAATGAAAAAAAAAATGTCTATACTTCTACTTTAAACAAAGCTTGCTGAAAGCTGTGCAAATGCTTTGTCAAAGTGTGCTCTTCACACTGTCACACTGCTCTTATACAAGCTGAAGCCCGTGTAAAACAGGCCTTATGGCACACATTTTATTCCTTTTTGGATAAGGGTTTTACATGAATAATTAAAAGCTGATCATTTTAACCACCCCTGCCAGTGTTAAATGGTTTGTCTCATCCATGTAAACTGTTACATTCTGCTGGAGAGCTTGAGCTTTTGAAAAATAGCAGACTTGCTGGCTGGATCACCAGGTGAAAATAGAAAAAAGCATAAAAAAGAAAATTATTATTATTATACAGGATTTATATAGCGCCAACAGTTTGCTCAGTGCTTTACAAAATAAAAGGAGACAATACACCAACAATACAGTTCAATACAAGAGGGTTAGGCGGGCCCTGCTCCTTGGAGCTTACAGTCTAAGAAAATGAATGCACAGTGCCGCCATCACATTCAAGAATTGGTAAACTGCAATATAATAAATTTTGCTTTTGGAGTTAATACTGCTTTAAAAAGGGTTGCCTTTTAGTCTACATTAGTTTCAGTTTAAAGTAAATCATGTTACATTGTTCCCTGATAGTAGAAGTAGGCATGGTGGGTGGTATGAAGGAAGAAAGAAGTAGATATGGAGTTTCCTCCAGGTCTGCTATCTTCAGTGGTGGATTCCAGCGAGCAAGGGTGGCACAGGGCATTGATATTGTGATTTGACAAGTCCGATAAGCTCCCATCTGCTGCCCTTTGGTAAAACTACATCATGCTAAACTATCATTTCTAACATTGATTCCTGGTACTGTTTTTCAAACTGCCAGTTTGAAATGGTGCATGATTGTCATGGCGCATGCTTGTCACAGAGTTGACTGGGTTCACATATGTGCGAGGCTGGTTTGCAGGGCGATTTCAAGCCCTGTCTAGTGTGACTTTGTTAGCGGTTCAGGTGCAATTCATGTGCGCATTGTTAAAGTGCATGACACTGGAAATCATGCCTGAAAATCGTACTGGATCGTAATGGACTATTTTTTAAATCGAACTGCGGCCAGCTCGCACATATGTGTGTCTCCATTGAAAAGGCTTTTAGTTTATGTGAATCTGATGTGGTTCAGAATGCGTCCAACGCCTCCAATTCACATATATAAAAAATTACTAGCATAAAACACAGGCGTACCTCGGTTTACGAATTTAATGTGTTCTGCGAGACTTTTCATATTTTGAAAAATTCGGAAACCGAAACGCGGTTTCCCATAGGAATGCACTGAAAAACAATTAATCCATTCCAGAGGTCAGAAAAAAGTTAACAAAAAAAGTATTTTATCTGTTCCAAACTCTTTATAAAGTGCACTTTAAAGGCATAAATACTGTACAGGGACATGATTAAAAATTAATTCGTAAATGCACTGAAAACCAATTAATCCATTCCGGAGGTCAGAAAAAAGTAAAACAAAACATATTTTATCTGTTCAAAACTCTTTATAAAGTGCACTTTAAAGGCATAAATACTGTACAGGGACATGATTAAAAATTAATTCGTAAATGCATTGCAAACCAATTAATCCGTTCCAGAGGTCAGAAAAAAGTAAAAAAAAATTATTTTATCTGTTCAAAACTCTTTAATAAAGTGCACTTTAAAAGGCATAAATACTGTACAGGGACAAGATTAAAAATGAATTCGTAAATACATTGAAAACCAATTAATCCATTTCGGAGGTCATGAAAAAGTAAAAAAAAGTCTTATCTGTTCAAAACTCTTTATAAAGTGCACTTTAAATGCATAGTACTGTACAGGGACATGATTAAAAGAAATCGTAAATGCATTGAAAACCAATTAATCCGTTCATAAACTGAGGCATTATTTTCAATGGATTTTCATTCGTAAACTGAAAATCACGGTAACCGAGGTGTTCCTAAACCGAGGTACGCCTGTATAGACCAAATGTTACAAAAGTTATGAAAGATCTGCTTTTTCCTGCTGTCTTCCTTTATACAACATGAAAATCTGCCAAGTGACAGGTACTCATTAATCGACTACATGAAACTGGAAAATATTCTGCTCAACTGTGCATCTTGGTGACTGCAATTATTAGCGGAATGTAATCTGTCTCATCTTGTGAGGAATTCAAAAGGTAGAAACTACTACAAAATTCCCCTGCTTGCAGCCCTGCTAGGCATACATGTACACATACATGAGAAAGTCACAAACTACAACAAGGTTCCTCTGTAAATCGTGGTACCTACCAGGGGCGGACTGACAACTCATGGGGCCCCTGGGCAATAGGGGATCATGGGTCCCCTGTATCCTTGCCCACTCTCAAAACACACCCAAAAACGCCTATAAAAAAGGTACCAAAGGACATTTCATGGGGCCCCCTACTGATCCCGGGCCCTCGGGCAGTGCCTGAGTTTCAAAATAGTCAGTCAGTCCGCCCTTGGACAGAGGCTACTCTGCTCTAGGGGCTACTGGGTGTAAACTGACCGGCTTCTGATCTGATCTGCCTAGACAGAAGGGGGCAAATCTCCTTTCATTGTAAGAAAACCGAATCGGACTGGAGGTAGGTGGGTGTAATCGGAAATATGTACGTTTGTTTACACCCACCGGTCTATAGGTGTGAATGGACCATCTGCTAAGGTCCGCCTGACAGGCAGGCCTGACAGGATTGACTGTGAAAGAACGCTTGTTCAATTTTCTAATCATTAGTGGGGTCAAATTGATGCTCATTTTCCACTGCAATGATGAGAAAGTTCAAAAGAACAGCATGGAAATGTTTTTGGGAATTAACAAATTTCTAACATTATTTTTACTTTTCATTCAGAAAATTATATTCATTCCAAAATCGAATGTTAAAAGAAAACAAAGTTTGAGGTACTTCTTAACTACAATTGTCAAGGAAGGAGTTACATAGTTACATAGTTAGTCTGGCTGAAAAAAGACATGAGTCCATCCAGTTCAACCATTAAAAAATAAAAAAATATATAATCCTATACCGACAGTTGATCCAGCACAATCCAATATGCTCCTGCAGGGAAAAAAATTCCTTCCTGATCCACAAGAGGCAATCAGATATTCCCTGGATCAACTTTACTTATAAATGTTAGTATCCAGTTATATTCTGTGTATCTAGCAAAGAATCCAGGCTGTTTTTAAAGCAATCCACTGAGCTGGCCAGAACCAACTCTTGAGGGAGTCTATTCCACATTTTCACAGCTCTCACTGTGAAGAAACCTTTCCATGTTTGGAGATTACATTTCTTTTCCTCCAGACATAAAGAGCGCCCCCTTGTCCTCTGTGATGACTGGAGGAACCTTTAGATTTGTTAGTTTCTATTAAAAAAAATTTGTACTATCTCTGATATAAGATTTAGTTACAGGGACAAAAGGATCAGCAGAGGGGTCACATATTGGGGGGAATGTAAACTCACTCAGTAAATGGCGCAAAAAATAATGTTGTTAGGCTATTTTCAGTGCCAGTTTAATGTTTTTCATTTGTTTAAAAATGGAAAATACAGCATTTGGCCAATAGATGCTACAGAGCATCCTAGGAATCTTATGTGATCCTTGGAGTCATCTAGGGGCCAAATGTGTATTTTCCATTTTATAGCAAAGAAAAACATTTGACCAGCACAGGAAATAGCCTAATAGCATTTGTTTTTGCCTCATTCCTATAAAACAAATGTACATGCAGTTTCACTGGATGAGTTGCTGTGAATGTTTCTAAATACACCTATTATTGTTCATTTGTGATGTTTTGTTGATTTTGCTATCTTGATTTCCTTTTTCTAAAGTCTTTGGGAAAGAAATTATTTTGATGTGTATTTATTATGTGTACATAAGGAGTTGGTCCTTTTGCTACATATTTCCTTCCAGATTAACGATCTAGTTCAGTGGTCTACAAACTGTGGCCCGGGGGCCGGATGTGACCCTTTTCTTGCTTTTACCAGGCCCTTGGGACACGAGTTTTCCCACTGATACAAGAAACTATTCGTTATACACCAACAATGGGGCATGATTCATGTCATAGATACCAACAATTGGGCACTATTCCTACCACTGAACCCAACAATGGGGCACTAATCTTCCCACTGACACCAATGGTGGGGCACTATTCCTCCAACTGACACCAATGATGGGGCACTATTCCTCCCACTGACACCAATGATGGGGCACTATTCCTCCCACTGACATCAATGATGGGGCACTATTCCTCCCACTGACATCAATGATGGGGCACTATTCCTCCCACTGACATCAATGATGGGGCACTATTAGGGTTGCCACCTCATTCTTTTAAAAACAAACACATATTAATTACTGTATTCTTTGCTCAATAAGACACACCAATGTTTTAGAGGAGGAAAACAAGAAAAAAAATATTGTGAACCAATGCACTGCAGACATAGTACAGGAAATGACCAGAGACTATGGACATACTTTGGAAGATGACCAGAGACTGCGGACATACTACGGGAGATGACCAGAGACTGCAGACATAGTACAGGAGATGACCAGAGCCTGCAGACATAGTACAGGATATGGCCAGAGACTGCGGACACAGTACAAGAGATGAAGAGAGACTGCGGACATAGTACAGGAAATGGCCAGAGACTGCGGACACAGTACAGGAGATGATCAGAGCCTGCAGACATAGTACAGGAAATGGCCAGAGACTGCAGACACAGTACAGGAGATAACCAGAGACTGCGGACATAGCACAGGAGATGACAAGAGCCTGCGGACACAGTACAGGAGATGACCAGAGACTGCAGACATAGTACAGGAGATGACCAGAGACTGCGGACATAGTACAGGAGATGACCAGAGACTGCGGACATAGTACAAGAGATGACCAGAGACTGTGGATATAGGAGAGGAGATGACCAGAGACTGCGGACATAGTACAGGAGATGACCAGAGACTGCGGACATAGTACAAGAGATGACCAGAGACTGTGGATATAGGAGAGGAGATGACCAGAGACTGCGGACATAGTACAGGAGATGACCAGAGACTGTGGACATACTACAGGAGATGAAGAGAGACTGCAGACATAGTACAGGAAATTACCAGAGCCTGCGGACATACTACAGGAGATGACCAGAGACTGCAGACATAGTAAAGGAAATTACCAGAGACTGCAGACATAGTACAGGAGAAGGACCAGAGACTGCGGACATACTACAGGAGATGACCAGAGACTGTGGACACAGTACAGGAGATAACCAGAGACAGCGGACACAGTACAGGAGATGACCAGAGACTGCAGACATACTACAGGAGATGACCAGAGACTGCAGACATACTACAGGAGATGACCAGAGACTGCGGACATACTACAGGAGATGACCAGAGACAGCGGACACAGTACAGGAGATGACCAGAGACTGCAGACATACTACAGGAGATGACCAGAGACTGCAGACATACTACAGGAGATGACCAGAGACTGCGGACATACTACAGGAGATGACCAGAGACTGCGGACATACTACAGGAGATGACCAGAGACTGTGGACATAGTACAGGAGATGACCAGAGACTGTGGATATAGTAGAGGAGATGACCAGAGACTGCGGACATAGTACAGGAGATGACCAGAGACTGTGGATATAGTAGAGGAGATGACCAGAGACTGCGGACATAGTACAGATGACCAGAGACTGTGGACGTAGTACAGGAGATGGGCCAGAGACTGCAGATATAGTAGAGGAGATGACCAGAGACTGCGGACACAGTACAGATGACCAGAGCCTGCGGACATAGTACAGATGACCAGAGACTGCGGACATAGCACAGGAGATGACCAGAGACTGTGGATATAGTAGAGGAGATGACCAGAGACTGCGGACATAGTACAGGAGATGACCAGAGACTGCGGGCACAGTACAGGAGATGACCACAGACTGCGGACATAGTACAGGAGATGACCAGAGACTGCGGACATACTACAGGAGATGACCAGAGACTGCAGACATAGTACAGGAGATGACCAGAGACTGCGGACACAGTACAGGAGATGACCAGAGACTGCGGACCTACTACAGGCGATGACCAGAGCCTGCAGACATAGTACAGGAGATGACCACAGACTGCAGATATAGTACAGGAGATGACCAGAGACTGTGGATATAGTAGAGGAGATGACCAGAGACTGCGGGCACAGTACAGGAGATGACCACAGACTGCGGACATAGTACAGGAGATGACCAGAGACTGCGGACATACTACAGGAGATGACCAGAGACTGCAGACATAGTACAGGAGATGACCAGAAACTGCGGACACAGTACAGGAGATGACCAGAGACTGCGGACATAGTACAGGAGATGACCAGAGACTGTGGACATAGTAGAGGAGGTGACCAGAGACTGCGGACGTAGTACAGGAGATGGGCCAGAGACTGCGGATATAGTACAGGAGATGACCAGAGACTGCGGACACAGTACAGGAGATGGGCCAGAGACTGCGGATATAGTACAGGAGATGACCAGAGACTGCGGACACAGTACAGGAGATGACCAGAGACTGGGGACATAGTACAGGAGATGACCAGAGACTGCAGACATGGTACAGGAGATGACCAGAGACTGCAGACATGGTACAGGAGATGACCAGAGACTGCGGACACAGTACAGGAGATGGGCCAGAGACTGCGGATATAGTACAGGAGATGACCAGAGACTGCGGACACAGTAGTACAGGAGATGACCAGAGACTGTGGATATAGTAGAGGAGATGACCAGAGACTGCGGACATAGTACAGATGACCAGAGACTGTGGACGTAGTACAGGAGATGGGCCAGAGACTGCAGATATAGTAGAGGAGATGACCAGAGACTGCGGACACACAGTACAGATGACCAGAGCCTGCGGACATAGTACAGATGACCAGAGACTGCGGACATAGCACAGGAGATGACCAGAGACTGTGGATATAGTAGAGGAGATGACCAGAGACTGCGGACATAGTACAGGAGATGACCAGAGACTGCGGGCACAGTACAGGAGATGACCACAGACTGCGGACATAGTACAGGAGATGACCAGAGACTGCGGACATACTACAGGAGATGACCAGAGACTGCAGACATAGTACAGGAGATGACCAGAGACTGCGGACACAGTACAGGAGATGACCAGAGACTGCGGACCTACTACAGGCGATGACCAGAGCCTGCAGACATAGTACAGGAGATGACCACAGACTGCAGATATAGTACAGGAGATGACCAGAGACTGTGGATATAGTAGAGGAGATGACCAGAGACTGCGGGCACAGTACAGGAGATGACCACAGACTGCGGACATAGTACAGGAGATGACCAGAGACTGCGGACATACTACAGGAGATGACCAGAGACTGCAGACATAGTACAGGAGATGACCAGAAACTGCGGACACAGTACAGGAGATGACCAGAGACTGCGGACATAGTACAGGAGATGACCAGAGACTGTGGACATAGTAGAGGAGGTGACCAGAGACTGCGGACGTAGTACAGGAGATGGGCCAGAGACTGCGGATATAGTACAGGAGATGACCAGAGACTGCGGACACAGTACAGGAGATGGGCCAGAGACTGCGGATATAGTACAGGAGATGACCAGAGACTGCGGACACAGTACAGGAGATGACCAGAGACTGGGGACATAGTACAGGAGATGACCAGAGACTGCAGACATGGTACAGGAGATGACCAGAGACTGCAGACATGGTACAGGAGATGACCAGAGACTGCGGACACAGTACAGGAGATGGGCCAGAGACTGCGGATATAGTACAGGAGATGACCAGAGACTGCGGACACAGTACAGGAGATGACCAGAGACTGCGGACACAGTACAGGAGATGACCAGAGACTGCGGACACAGTACAGGAGATGACCAGAGACTGCAGACACAGTACAGGAGATGACCAGAGACTGCGGACACAGTACAGGAGATGACCAGAGACTGCGGACATAGTACAGATGACCAGAGACTGCGGACACAGTACAGATGACCAGAGACTGCGGACATAGTGGACCTTTGTTGAGAAAGTTTGGAGACCCCTGGTCCAGTTCATTGACTTTTATTTGGTGTTACACTTATGTCCGATTCCAGTTGATATAACTGTGATTAGTTTTAGCAGGGTATGTACATTGCACTTATGCACACAGGATAGTTTAAAGAAAATCATCTAGCTACTTATCCTGGAGTTTTTTCTACTTATTAATACACCCATTCATGCACATCTTACATCATGCTTGGAGTTTTGTAAGTTCTGCAAATTCTGCAATTAATAGCTCAGAGGGGTTTCTCTCCAAGCCCCTAAAAGAAAATGAAAGTGAAAATAAACCCTTTACTGGTATGATGAAATGGAATGCTGTGCCTCGCCTTAGACATGGATGAATGAATATGCTGCAATAACAGTAAACTTGCTTATAGTAAAACACAACTCAAGTATGTAGCATTCAGGACTTTGGGAGCACGTTCAGAAAACACACACAAAAAAAAACATGCAATCTAATAGAAGTCCATGGCAAACTGCAAGCAACCTGCAAGAAAACCGCCAGTACACTACGAAAACCGCCAGTACACTACGGCCAAACCGAAGCCTAGCAGTGTGAAACCACCCCAAGCTAAAACTTTTATTTTAGAGTTGAACAGAATGGTGAAGGGTTAGTACCCCTGTCAGGTTTCTATTGCCGTGTCCTATTTAACCACCAACCCCCCTTCCTGACCAGGCCATTTTTTGCGATACAGCGCTATGTTACTGTCACTGACAATTGCACGGTCATGCAAATCTGCACCCAAATTACATTTTTTCCCACAAATGGAGCTTTCTTTTGGTGGTATTTGATCGCCTCTGATTTTTTGTGCTATAAACAAAAAAAAAAGACCTACAATTTGGAAAAAAAAACAATATTTTTGACTTTTTGCTATAAAACATATCCAATAAAAAAATGTATAAAATCAAATTTCATCATAAATTTCGGCCAAAATGTATTCTGCTACATGTCTTTGCTAAAAAAATTCCCAATGCATGTAAATTAATTGATTGATTTTTTTTTTAATACTAGTAAAGGCGGCGATCAGCGACTTATAGCGAACCTGCGGCAGGCATTCTGACACTGGGGGGGACTGACTAACTGCCACTGACATCCCCACTGACACTAATACAGTGATCAGTGCTAATAAAAAGCACTGACACTGTACTAATGAAACTGGGCAGGAAGGGGTTAACACCAGTTAACTGGTGTTAACTGGGTGTGCTGTTTTACTATTTTGTCTGTGTGTGCTTTACTATGTAAGCATGCTGCTTTGCATTGCTCTGCTATGCAAAGCAATACAAAGCAGCATACTGGTACTGACAAGGGAGAGGTCTGTATTGTTTACATACAGACCTCTCTCTTCTGTCACTCTTCCTTGGTGATCGCTGCTCCTCGGGGAATCTCTGTCCAGCAATCGGTGATTAACAGTTTTAGCTGGTGGAAATACAAAATCACATATATATATATACGTGATTTTGCACATCTCTGCTGCCCTGTAGAGCGGTTAAGAACATTGGCTCTAATTGTCCTGGTGACCACTGTCACCAGAATTGAAGGTGAGGGGCAAACAAAAATACTGCGTTGCCACCAGGACAGGAATAAGGGAAATCTTCTAATGGGGACACCTGTTCTGGTGACAGCTATCAAAGAGGAAATCTCTGTCACTTTGGAATATTACCTTTTGGTCTATATATAAATGCAGAAAAAGTATCAACAAATGAACATACACTGAAATAAAGGAAATAGTATAAATGACACATAGATGGCTTTTAATTGATCAGCACCGTCATGAGTGCTGACCAATCAAAGGCAGCGCAGCCCATGCAGGGATGACAGAACAGGCTAGATGGATTTTAATTGGTCAGCACCATCATGAGTGCTGACCAATCAAAGGCAGTCCAGCCCATACTGTCATCCCTGCATTGGGAGGAGAGAAAGCCGTGGAGATTTCAAATCCCCAGACCTGTGAAGCGACTTTTTCATCTTTGAGAGCATGGGATTGGTGCAGGGAAGTTTCCAGCACTGCTCCTAAGTGATCTCAGGCTATGACAAGCCTGGGTCCACACAGGAGCAGTGGGGAAACCGCATGCAATTTGGACAGGAATCGCATCACATTCCTGCTCAAATCGCATGCTATTCTTTGCGGTGCAATTTGCGTCCATACACAAATGGACACTAATCGCACCACAAAGTATCAGTACTCTGTATTGGCGAGTACTTGACTGAAAGTATCAGTACTTATACTCATCGATCAAAAAAAGGTATCGGTGCATCCCTAGTAAACAGGACTAATAGAGGGTGAATCTCCTTAACAAGGGCACAGACAGCAATAACAACTGACATGAGTTCTAATCCATCTGCACTCTATGTAAAACGAAGAAAAAGGTTTTGCCTTTAGTAATACTTTAAGTGGGTCTTTATGTCTGGGGGAAGGGATGGACTTCCCCATCACCTAACCACTGTGATTGGCTTTCACAGTGTTGACCTGAGAGTATTTCCAGCTGCAGCCACAGTATGTATACGCCTCTGGCAGTTGCTGCTGTACAGAAAGGGGGGATCAGTTTGGGTGGTAAAAATACAGCTCAACCGTGCGGTTTTACTGTCCCTCAACCTCATGTGTGAACAAGGCCTTGGTTTACATGTGTGCAACTGCATACTGCATGTAAGGCAGCCCGTTCATTTCAGTGGGCTGCATTATCTTCAGAAACACAAGGAAGAAGTCCCCGACCCTGAAAACGCACTGCGGTTGCCAATGTGTGGGTGGTTCCATTAAGAGTTAATGACACTCCTGTGTACCTTCTAAAGAGCAGGGCATTTGTCTGCGTGTCAGGAACGTGCATGTTTTTGCTTGTGGTCCCTGACACGCAGTAATGTGAACCAAGCCTTAGTGCTGGTTCACATCTATGCAGATTGGATGCGCTTTGAACTGCATCCAATCCGCATGACATGTGCAAAAACATTGCTTCCTATGGTGCCTGTTCACATATGTCTGGTGCACTGGCGGTGCGGATTCAGTGCAGCTTGAAAAAGAGTCCTGTACGATTTCTGAGCCGTGCCTTCAGGTTCAAGGTGCAGATTACATTCTATTGACTTCTATGGGAACCGTTTCTAAACCACATATATGTGTGAACAGGATAAAATCCTGAGCTAATCCTGTCCTGAACCTGATGTAAACCTGACATGACCCGCTGAACAACTACTGTATCCATTAGTTAAAAAACCTGAGTTTCAATCAGCACCGCACATGTGTGAATCAGCACTAAGGTCCCTTTCACACGAGTGGACCAATGGGGTCTGCCTGTCCATTTTTCAGACGGACCTGATTGGTCCATCCATAGAGTTCAATAGACCAGTGAGTGTCAGCAGACTATCTGCCGGCATACGATCCGATCCTGTACACAGACGGATGGGGATCCATTCCTCATCTGTCCAGTGGATCATAACGGATGAAAATCAGGTGGAAACGGACAGGCGGTCTGTTTCCATCCGATCATCCCATTGAAATCAGTGGGCAGTGTCTGTGTCTGCAGCAGCAGAGCTGACAGAGGCCTACCAACCGCCTGTTCAGCGGGGATCAGAAGAGAGACGCTGACAGATCCACTCCGTCTGAAAGGGACTTTAGTCTGTGGTGCATCAAGACTGAAAATACTTTTCTAGGGCACCCTTACTGTACAGAGGTGGAGAAACACTGGATTAGAACACCCGCCTGTTTTTATTGCTGTCTGTGTCCTCATTAGGGAGATTCATCTTCTCTATTTGTCCAGTTTACCATTATCCCCAAGAATGAACAGAAAAGAAAAGCCCACATTTTGGGTTGTCACCAGAACAGGAATAGAGGGGAAATAATATAAAGGGGACACTAGTTTTGGTGAAATCCAGGGATTCCATCACTTTGGAGGGATTTTCTCTCACTTCCTGTTTTAGTTACAAACAGGAAGTGAAATGAAATATCCCCAACAGGACACAGATGGCAAACCTGACAGGGGTTACAACCCTCCTGTAGGCAGGCCATACATGGATAGGAATTTGGCTTTTTCAGCAGGGAATTTCAATCCATGCATGGGCTAGCTTGTTGTACACAAATAGATCTATTGATGAGCTTGTGTACAACCAGCCTGTCAGTTTTTTCCTGAATAATCAGTGCCACTGGCTATAGCCAGCAACAGGGATCAGTGAGTTCTGATGGCAGGAAAGTCCCCCCACTGTCAGAATACATTAGCACAGCAGGACGGATTCCCCTATCCACCTTGAATATGTGGCTGGGGGAATCAGCTCTTTTTTTTAATCTCAACCAACTGGTTGAACTAACAAAAATGAACCATGTATGGATTCCTTTACTCTATCCAAATAAAAACAAAAACATTGCCTAATTCTACTTTGGCAATGTAGATGGTCATATATTTGACAATCTGAGTTTACAATCCTATACAATCTCCTTTAGATAACCTAAACCTTATGAGGACAACTCTAAACAGTATATTCAAAACAATAAAATCAGGCAGGTCCTTGCACTACATAGTTCATGGTAGATCTAAAGCAATTGTACAATCAGGTTGTAGAGTGTATGGTAAGCATCATATCTGTTTTATCTGTGTATTTAGCAGTGTACCTGGAGTCCAGCTTTAACCGACTTCCACCAGCCATATAAGGAAATGACAGACGAGCGGCAGTTCTCTCCTCCCACTCTAACTGCGCATACGCGCCCCCCGGAGGCACACGGCGTGTTGATCGGTGCTGCGCCGTGTCCTTGAGACACAGCGGGTCACCGATCAGAGTAAAGAGCCAATGACACAGGCTCTGTCCACATGACAGAGCCTGTGTGTCATTGGCTGTGTCTAATCACAGCTGATCGCATGGAAAAAAGGAAATGCCAATTATCGCTGACAGAGAGGAGA